ACATTGAGAAATGAGATTTGAAATGAAACTCACAGAACAAACACATCTGGCTTCATTACCAGGTTGAAGTAAAAGCTTCCCCGGAGCACAAGAGAGAGGCTGGCGAGGTCTAGTTATAGCAGTTTTATCACTGTTACCAGATCTGCTGTTAACAGTGACTTCTAGTTCAACTACCTGTTTACACAGTGCAGAGATGCAATGAAATAAAGCAAGTATTCCATTTAGATGACTCAACTTGGTAAAACATGGCCCACAGAATAGTCTTGTTTCCATATGAACTCTTCCAGGTATTCGTGTGCCCCACCGCAGTTGTTAGCACAAGTGTACACCGCCAGTGTTCCCCAGTCAATGCTCTCTCCAAGGCTGTCAACTTGAAGGTAGTTCAGGAGCTGTGGCATAATCTTCAAAGAAAACCAAAAGGTTTAGAGGCAGGCCACAGCTTTCTCCGTTCTCCCTGCTTGTCTTTCTGAAGAAGGATCCTGCATTTGGTGTAAGAGAATTTATGTCCTCTTACACCAAATCCCAGTTGAAGCGACTGCATGCATCAGCTCAAACAAAATAAATTTGAAATTCCCAAAGCAGTGTAGTAGATGCCTCGAGAATCAAAGGCATGGCCCTACTTACTTCATCTATAGAAGTTTTATTTGACCTTATAAGCCTTGCCCCAATTCTGAGCCTCACTCATTTGAAATTACCTTCATGACTATGTTTTACCCTCACATGACATTAAGTGTATTCACCATGCATACATCACTAGCATTCAAAATTTCACAGCTGAATACTTCCAGCCAGACATATTTACAATTCACGTTGTGAATTTTTTGAAATATATCACACTGGACTCCTGTTACTTAAGAGACGGTTCCATATTCACAAGAGCACCATTTTATGGATAGTGCAAATTATCTGGTGGAAAAAGCAGTTACAATAGTAAATAAAGGCTCTGTGCAATCATTTAGCATAGTTAGTATGTAGCAACTTCCAACTTTCTTGCTCTGACTACAAGCCAACACCTATACAATCAGATCCTGTTAAGTCTGAAATACATTACCTGTATTATTTTTAAATGAGTTTACGTACCTGGAATTCAAAAATCCTTTTGGCACCACATAAACAATTTGGGATATCTTTTTCTTCAGGCCTGTTTTCACCTGACACCCAGATTGGGCCTTCTCCTCCTCTGCAGTATCTAATAATCTGGAATAGAGCAGAAGTTTATTACTATCTTTTGGTTTTGGTATAAAATTGGTATTTACAGCTAGACAAAGTTGTAGACGGCGCAGAATAAGGTCAGATCCTTTAAGTAATAACCATGGCAAAATATCATTTGCAAACATGGTATTCTAAATAAGATGGGTTGTTTTATATGCATTTTCTTAACTATGCAACACTTTTTCAATGATCCAGGGATAAACTGCAATGACAAATTCCAATTATTTGCATTTCCCTAATTAAGGGACCCAGAAATGTATGTTACAGTCTTGAGATGGGGAAAGAGCAGCTTGATAATTAGCACACAGAACTGCACACAAAGTCAAGAATGCAACCCAGTTCTTCTTGTTATGCATTACTGCATCTAAATGCAACTGGATTGTCCTAATGCCCAAGAAGGAGGCATTTTCAGACATATCCTTAGTTTTTCTGTTCATAGCAAATCAGGCATTATCAACAAGAGGACATTGGGCAGATCAGTCAGTACAGGGATGATCAGAGAAAGGTGATGCACATACCTAAAGCAGAGAAGGAGACACTCAAGTCTCCTACTTTTTGTATATGTACCTTAACCCCTCGGGTACCAGGCAAAAAATTGAGAGAATTTCTTCTTCCTCTACCACTTTCATGGATTTAGGCCTGTGTTTCCTCTGAATGGAACCAGGGACCATGCTTTTGTTTGACAATGTGACTCAGCCTCTTGTAATAGCAAGAAATAGTATGAGGGGGGAATTTCTGCTTGAAATAGTAAAAATTTTAAAGCCATCACTAATTTCTTCAACCTTAAAAAAGCCAAACCACCTCCCAGTGCAGCTGGTGACAATGATAGAGCTCTTCTCTGCAGTTTTCTTTCTACTGAGAAGGAAAGCCAGCAGGACCACAGGCTAGGGAATAATGCAGTGGTTCACCATGTCCTTTGGTTAAAACGAAAGGATGGCAGGTCACAGGATGGCAGGTCTTCCCACGCTCTGGGGGGTTCAGCACCCCTGTGCCATCTCATCCTGACCAACTTCTGTTTAAGATAGATGAGCAGGTGCTGAATTCTTACTTCAGCATGACTTCTGTTGTGCACATAAGGAAATGAGGGTGTGTTGGTTAGGTGTGTGGAGGGTGAGGAGGCATCCTCATTTCTAACTAGGTACAAAAGGCAGTGAAACATTGCAGGGGCAGCAGGATGCCATGCCAGAACCACAAAGTTCTAAGGCCACCCCATCTTCTCACCTGCTCTGGTTCAGCAGCTACTTTTTCTTTAAACATTTGGAAGATCTTGTCTTCTTCAGTCTCACGTTTTGCCAATGCTTCCAGTGTCTCTTCATCTAAGGACTGAAGTGCTTCATCTAAACAAGAAAAAAGAACAACAAAAGTTACAGGCTAATACAAGACAGTAAAAAATTAAAAACTGTATTAGCACCTGTAAATGCATTTTGCTTCACAAATCATTGGTTGCATAAATCACTCAAAGATTTCTTTCTTTTTGTGGCATGTTAAAATTTGGTCACACACAGGTTCATTTACTAGTTTTAGATGCATTTTAAACATAGATGTCAGTACTGGAACATTGGAAAAGGGAAGGAGTTAACTGATTACAGTTTATGGCTCCCAGTGGGTATCACTGAGACTGCAGAACCTTCAGGGTATGGCATCTGAAAAAAGTGCAACAGTGCCGTGCATGTGCCAGACTTCAGTTTCTAGTACTGAGCAGTGTATCTGTCACACAACAACATTCACGTCAAGTCAGGGCGCTAAACAGTCTTGAGACAGCTTTGGACCACAGCAAGGCACAGCTGGGAACCCAGCATCCTTCCCCTGCACTACCACAACTCTCCAGCCTGGGTGTGTTCAAAGCTAGTGTTGCAAAGCTAAGTTGCTGCAAACACATCATGAATTTGGGGGGAGCAGGGAAGAAGGGGCCTGCACTTCAATTGCTTAATTCAAGGTCAATTAAAATAGCCTCAAAACATTTTTTTTCTAGCACAGACAAGGAGATTTCAAGTATTTTCTATAAATTAAGACAAGTGGAACCAAGTCAAGCCAAGACAGTCTAATTTAATCTCCCAATTCCAAAAGCATCCAGCAGCTCAAGGTCCTGTCCTTCTCACTTGAGTTGTTCCTTACCTATTGGAAGTATGCAGGGACACAGTGTAACTACAAGCTACCTGCAGCAACAGCTGTGAAGAATTACAGGCAGCATCTTATTTCTGACCTGCACTGCCTGTAGCTCCAAGTTCCTCTTGTTCTTTCAGGTCCTTTGATGTCTCTACAGCTACTTGTTCATCACCAGGATCTATAGTGCTGTCATCAGGAAATTCTGGTTCCTCAGGTTCTATCAAAATTTCATATTCTGGAAAAAGGAATTCATTATGCTCTGGAATTGCATCCACCGAGTCATCTACAAAACAGAAAACAGGTACCACTTCGCAACGTCATCTCGTATTTCACGTCCTTCCGCCCAAAAGCCACACAGCAAAGTACGTAGCAACAATACAGTACAAACATGGTATGAGCAAGAACGATTTACATCACTGCTAGATGTGACTAGAAGGTAAGAAACACACTATATTAGGGACAGTGGAAAACTACAACAGGTATGTTGCTTTGAACATACTGTAAACCTAAGCGATATGGAAGGCAGACTAAACAGTGCTAGCAGCAGCATTTTACAACCCCAAACCCTGCAGTTTCACAGCTCGGTGCATTTTTAAAACTCAAAACCTGCAGCTTGGCAGCTCGGTGCACATCTCCTTCTAACTAGCACACGCAGACAAGTGAAGCGTGCATCAGGTGCCCTGATGGCCATTAACACTTCTCATACTTTTCTATGGCATGCTGTGAGTAGCCAAAGTTTCCACGAGCGCATCAAGCACATCTCCAGCATTTAACCACCCAGCAGCACGTGGTTTCCCCCGCCTCGGAGGTCTCTGCTGCCCCGGACCCACCTCCGGCCGGGTGCTGCCCGCAGGAGCGGCGATGCCCGCGGCGCCAGTCCAGCGCCTGGTGCTCGGGTCCGCAGTAGGCGGCGCGGCGGCAGCGGCCGCAGCAGCGCGGCCCGGGGCAGCCGCACACGCGGCACAGCGCGGCGCCGCCGCTCAGCCGCTCCGGCGGCGCGGGGGCCGGGCCCGGGGGCGGCTCCTCGGGGGGCGGCTCCTCGGGGTACGTGTCGTTCCGCCGCGGCAGCTGGTTCCGGAACACTGCGGGAGACAGGCGCTGGTCAGCCCGGAGGCGGCCGGCCGCCCTCGCCCCTCCACCTCTCCCTCCCTCCCTCCGTCCCTCCCTTTGCCTCACCGCGGAAGGGCCCCCGCGGTCCCGACCCGCGGTAGCAGGCGGGGCCGCGGCAGGCGAACACGAAGAGGGTGCGGTGGAAGGCGTCGGAGCGGCCGGGCAGCGGCGCGTACAGCTGCAGCAGGAAGGCGCAGGGCCGCTGGCAGCGGCCGCAGCGCAGGGCGGCGGGGCCCGGCAGCCCGGCCTCGCCCAGCCACGCCGGCCGCCCCCCGACCTTGCTGGGGAAGTAGGCGCTGCGCAGTCGCCACACCCCGCCCGGCCCAGCCGCCGCCGCCGCGAAACCCAGCTCCACTCCCGGAGCCATGCTGCCTCCGCCGGCCGGGCCCCGCGCACAGCGGCGGCCGCTCCCCGGAACAGCCCGCCCCGCCCCAGGCCCCGCCCCAGCCCCGCCCCCGGCGTTCCCGGGATCCGCCCGCTCGCTCCCCTTCCCCCCGCGCCTGTCCCCGCTTTGGGTCTGTAACGGGCACCGCAGTCAGCGATGGGAAGGGGGGGAAGAGATGACAGACAGACACGTTAACGGCGCTGCTTTAATTCAGTGTTTAAATATAACATTCATGAAGTAATTAAAATAATGCCAAGTTGCCTCAAAAAAAAAAAAAAAACCCACACCCAACCCAAACAAAAAAATACCAAAACACAAAACGCAACACAATTAGCAGTCCTGGTTATTGCCCAAGGTTTGATTTGTGCTCTTCATTCCTTATGAATGCCTTGCCTTGCATTTAGCCAGCCCGCAATGGTTTTTTTTTCTAAATATTAATAGCAAGTCTTTCAACTCCCTGTTACATTTTCATATCCATGAAATATTTGAAACCAATCACATTCCTTGTTATAAGTCTAGAAAAACGTATTTAGGTAGCGATTACTGTTCACGTCTCTTTAAATACTTATCATTAAAAAAAAAGACAATGTTTAATTTGTTTTAAAAAACAAAAGATAGTGAGGATACAAATACAACTCTAACCCTCACAGCAGCAACTCCTAAGCGGTCATGGAGAGCTGCCCAGCTGTAAAACACCTCTCTGCCTCTCAGCTTGCAGGCTGGCTGGGCAAGAGGGGAACCTTGCCCGCTCCCATCCCTGCTCCAGTGGGGCAGTGGTCCGTGTTCTCAGCAGGCACTTACATCCACTCACAGTATCAGGAACCACTTAGAGTCGTGCAGCCACAGGTTTCTGTACAGGTATCCGAGCATCTAACAAAAAAAAGGGTAAACACTTCTGATCAACCTGCTACAAACACCATGCCATTTAACTACTTGTTACTTCATTTCTCTTGGTCATTGGTTTGCACAGTATGCGAAATAAAGAAGGGAGATTCAAAGCTGCAGCCAATGACACCAGAGAAAGTATTGTAAAAAAAATATTACTAGGATTTTTACACAGTTAAATCTATGGAATTACTAGGGAAAAAGCACTACACCGAATGTACGTGCATTGTCCAAAAGTAATTTATAACTGGATAAGCTCTCTTCAAATTAATTAGAGAACACTTACCAAACATGTCCAGGATTTTACTAACAGCCTCTTGATTTACATTGTAAGTGAATCCATTCGACCTATAGTTACAAGAAAAAAAAAAGTTTTTTCAATGAATATTTCTTATTCCAGTAATTTCCACACAAATATGAATTAAACCTGAATTAAAACTTGACTTAAAACATTTTCACAATTACATAGTATTTATATATTAATATTAAATTTAAGGACATCAGACTTCTACTCAAGAAGAGTTACGCTTTCTTTATCCTTTCTCTTGTTCACAGTCCCCATGCCTCCCTCTTCCCTCAATTTTAACAGGGGACAACTGCAGGAAGAGAACAATTATTTGTTTTCAATCTTGTATTTTTCAAGACTCTCTGAAACTGAACCAAATATTCATCTGGTGTCAAATTTTGTTGCACGCAATTTATTCCTTTTACTTGAAAGTGAAATTTAGGTATACACATCTATCTAGCACAGTGGCGTGGCAGGGGACATAACAACTACAGTATTTTGTGCACTTTTCAAGAGCATTACAAACCTTAACCTATTCATTTCCTGAACGGAGGCATAAGGAAATACCTCAGGGTCATCACCTGACAACTATGTTCTGTGAAACACTCAAGACACTGCAGGGACTTCCTTGGTCATACTTTTAAATATAGTAAGAAGCACCACAACACAAATTAATTTGATAACACAATAATGTGTATCACCATACTTTTGTATAACAATGGTGAATTTTAATCTTAGGCCTAAAAACTATGAACTGTTAAAAGACTTTAATGATTAAGCTTTCAGTTAAATTGCTTTGAGATGTCAGTGCTGAACTCCCCCAAAGCGGTAGTATTCCTGACTTTTGCTTACATTGCCTGACAAGGCTTATTGTAACACACAGAGTAACTCTCATATTACAAATAAGCAGTTCTGTTCTTTCTGCTTATCAGAGCCTTGGGAGAAAATTTGAAAACCAAAAGGTAAAGGGACTCAGAAGCAGCCTACTAGTAAGTTAATGAATTTTGTTGCTAGGTCCTACAGAAGTCTTTTCACTATGAGGATGTGCCATTCTGCTTGTACAGAAAGGAACTACCAGGTCTTCACTATGATTCCAGAAATCCACTATCTGACTGGTGCTCAGGCAGTTGGGGTTCTGCTGTTTTGTTTCATACTAAGAGCTCAGACATTAAGAATTGCCACTAAGACTACACACTGACTTCTACAGATCAAAAAGCCAACATTGCTTACATTTTCTTTTTCTTCACAGCACCTAGTTGCACAAGAGCTGCTAAGGCATTTTTCTGCATGTCAGAAGACAGGGCTTCATAACACTGCGTAACCCCTATGGAGAGAGCAGAAACACAATTAAAATTTTTATAATTTTCTATTAACAGGCTACTCTTGTAAAATCATATTGCATAACAGTTGTACACACCCTTCTCAAGAAGTTGAAAAACAAAGTTGCGGACGCCAGGTATAAACTGCTTCTCAGTAAATGCTTCTTTCGTTTCCTTTGAGAGGTATCTGAAAATTAACTAACATTTTAAAGAAAATTAGCATTCCTTTCTTTTTGATTGTCAGCTTGTTATGAATTACAAACAGACATGTCCTTGTGAGTATTACTATTCCACTTTGAAAAGTGTAGGAGAGGAACTCAAAAGGTCACTACACAGGGCATCTGAAAGTTTTATTACTGTTTTACAGGCATAAGAATCCCAATATTAAAATAAGGTTCAGTATTTCTATAATAGTTATCTTAGACATTAATTTAACATTCCTGTTCTAACAATAAAAAACAGTTTAATTTCTGTAAAGCAATATGTGTTTCACAGATGGGAAAACTGGGCAAATCAGTACAGTTCGGCCCAAGTCATACATCAGATCATTAACAGATTCCACTATGTTAAACATCTACAGTCCCACTAATCCTGTGCTGACATACTTGAGATTTTAGCCTCCTGGATTTGTATACATTGCTTACTACAGGAATGTAAGTGTTTAATCTCTTTAAAACCTTGGAAAACCAGAAGAATTTAAAGAGATACAGATGTAATTAATGACTCCCATAAAAGCTATTAGATAGGAGATGTAAACTCATTTCCACACCTGGGAGGACAGCCACATAAAATGAATTAAGCAAGAGCTCCTCGTAAAAAAGAACAATGAACCCGGTAGCAGCACACTCCCCATGAAGCCTAAAAACCTACAATGAGCCATCACACTACAAGATAGTTACTGCTTTAGTAACTGGAAAAGGCTGAGTCAAAAGCTAAAAGCAGGATCCCGGAGAGAGGGTGGTGTTTTACTGCTATTTTGTAACTCTTGCACTAGCCTACCATGAAAACAGTCACTATTTATGCTGCAGAAGTATCACAGCTCTCCTACTTTCCCTATAAAACACAGGAAAAAAAAAGATAATTTTCTGAAGGACATCATACCTGGTAACCTTCCACAAAAGGTCTGAACATAGCTGACAAGAAAGACACCGTTACACTTCCTTTGTCAGTAGGGTAGATCTCCTGTTGACTCGTTTGAATGGCATCACATTTTGTGAGCAGAAAACATCCTTCCTCAAAATCCTGGGCGAGAGATGCACAACTGACATTTCAATATTTACAGGAAGTCCTTTTCCCACAAAATCAACAACAGAAACCACAACAGGGCATGACTTTCATTTCTGAACTCAGTTCTCAAGAGACTTGAATCAATATTTTCCTATCTACCAGAAATAACCTTACGAAAAGGCAGTGGGAACATGTTCTTAAACACAGCAGTATCTCGATGCACAGCAGGCCTTGGCACAAAGAAAGTGGTTGTGGCTGCTATTGCAAAATCCTCCCTCAGGATTTTGTCAAAATAGGGTCAGGTTGTCTGATTTTTTTCTGTGAGTATTTCTTTTTTGTTTATCTATTATTAAGGTAAGGGTTTGCCTTTACCTCATGTCCACTGTTTGCAATAAATGATAATACAGTTCACTGACCTGCCCTCTACCAAAGAGGCAATAAAACGGCCAAAAAGTTTACAAATTATGGAAATGTCAATGACAATACCATTTAACTGCCAATATGGGCATAAGGGGGAGGGGACACACACAGATAACACAAGGGCATGGCACATAGACACGACAGACACATGAACAAATAGAGGGGTGGGTAAGAGATTGCTTAACATTACAGCAACTCTTTCATCTGACTCCAGTAAAGTCAGTCATAGTCAGCCACCTTCCTGCTCCCTGCTATGTTCAGCCACTTCAAAAAAGCTACAAAATAAAAAAAGCTACAAATAAAACTAAACATAACTGTGCCAATCAGCCTTTTAAAAAAGCCCAATTCTCTTCTATATAAAAATCTATGAGATTTTAATATAGCCACAAGCCTTGAATATTCTTAGAAAAACTATGCTTCTCTCTTTTCTAATGCAGGAAAGATCACAACTATCACCATCAGATATTTGGCCTTAGCATTGACAAAAATCCCATGTAATAGGTTTAAAATCCAGACAAAAAATTCCACATGGACTTAACAATATATATTGGGTATGATTTTGAACCAGTTTTTTTACTGATAAGCCCGTTCTCACCTGCATTTCAAGCTGGCTGGACCAGAGCCAGCTCCAACTCAGCAGGTTCGTGTACAAACTAACAGAGCAAGTCCTGCAGAGAGCAAGTGCTGCCCGCAGTGTTCCCGCTTTGCCTGTGTCCAGCTGTGTTAGGGGTGCACACAGGCACACTGAGCCCGGCAGTAAGGCAGTACACAGGAACAGTACTGCCTTTGAGCTGATGGTTGCATGGGGCAGGAGGTAGAATGAGGGGAAACTCTTTTCAAGAAAACAGGATGCAACTAAAGCTTCCGTAAGACTCTTAAGAGGGACACTGCTATGCCATAGGAAAGTTCTCACTTCAAAAGACTTCACAGGCTGCATCCCTCATTATGTTCACAATGTACTACCTGACTCTCCATGAGATAAATGCCAGTAATAAAAAGCTAAAAGGGCTCAACTGTAAACCACCAAAATATTGAAAAAAAAAAGTTTAGTAATACACTGGAACATAGAAACCTTCAGAGTTCAAGGTCTAAGAGGAACACTACCCATTGTATAGACACTACAGGAGCAGATACTGCCATGCTGTGCAGTCAAGGAGAGGTGGGTACAGAGGCACACTCGAACAGCTGAGGCACTGGGTGTTATCGGCCTCTGATAGCCCAGCCATCACAGATCACACACGTGGAGCTGTACAAAACAACTAATCACAGCAGCAGGAGAAGGGGTATAATCACCCAGAGGACAATAGGTACTTAAATTTAGAATTGCATACTCTATTTGTCAAAGATAATGGCATAAACCGGTTGGTCATTAGTTGGTATAATACCTATAGTTTCACTTTCTCAAAGAGCAGCAGTGCCCCTCTGCTACAGAGTCTGCAAGAGCTTTCAGAAAAAATTATCCTAGTGTAACCTCAACAAGAATTCCAGTTTTGTTTCTGTGCTGACAGAACATACTCTGTGACAGAATTCAATTAAATCTACATTAGCACTTTTTTCTTCACTGCCCAAGGTCTCTTTCATAACTGCAGAGCAAGAGGACAGTATTTACACTTCATTTAAAAGACTGCTTTACATATATTTTTATTCCTGTGCTAGAAAACTGGTAGCTTTATGCAAAAAAGCCAGACTTCTGCTATAGTTCATTTTAATAGTTCAGAATTGGGCAATTTCAGGGAAAAAAAGATTGCATATACAACCTTGTGGATTCAGACTGCATTTTGCAACTAACAAAATGACCCCCTTTAAAATTCTCCCTTCCACTTACAGATCAAGGTGATATCACCGTAGGAGTTTATCACAAAGCACTTGTTTGGCAGAGCCCTGGAATCAGATGCTATTTTAGTTGGCTGCAAGTAAATCAGTATTTTTGTATAAAGCATGTTTTTACCTTCAATGAAATGCCAGGAAAGAAGATAAACTCATCAGAAAAAACATCTCTCAAGAAGCTGAAGCAGCTATAGACTTCCTCTGGAAAAAACATTGTGAAGTACTGTTGTTTAAAAACATAATTTAAGACATGCAAGTGAAAAGCCATTTATCCCTTATCTGAGAGAGTACCTACTTCAAATAAAGTATGGACTTGACATTAAAAGCATACATACATACACATACAGCAGAAACCACCACAACAGAACAGCAAGGACTCAAAGAACTTGATTCAACTGTTAACAAAAGGAAAGAGCAAGGAGTTGTAGCTTCTCAGAACATGCTTTAAATGCCACACAATCAGATGCTGCAAAAAAACTAAGGTATGAATTCTGCGAAGTTTCTTTAAGTACCAAGTATTGGAAAACACTTAACTACTTCAGAAGCAATAGCGGGAAGAAAGATTGAGACCTGACTGCACTGTATAAATGCACGAGGTGCGTGCAATTTGGAACCCAGGAACTGAGATCAGCTCACCTTGCCCCTGCCCTCTCAGCACAATATACCTACTTCCAAAGGCATCAAAAGGTAAACAAACAAAAAAAAGACAAGCAAATTACCCGCATGCCCCCCCCAACACATCCACCTTAAGCCATGGGCCTTATCCCAAGTATAATGGTCTCAAATAGCTCCCTCTAGCAGTCACAGGAACCTCAAGCTCCTCTCACAGCTGATGGCACAAGGAGCAAAGCCAGCAGATTCTCAAGAATCCAAATGTACCTTTTCTAAAGCTGGGTGTCATCTGCAAGGCAAGTGCCACCAGAGATGGACGCACAAACACGTTCAGCAGCTGGTTTCTGTATGTGGCACACATGAGGATGGCCAGGGCACGCTTGAAGACAATCTCCCCTGTAGCTCCATCCTCCACTCCTTTGTCATTCAGGACCACGTGGCCATCGACAAGTTGAGCAATGTTGGAATGCAGGGTGAGGCCAGATAGGACTGCTTTTTTGGCACACAGGTTATCTAACAGGAAAACACAACACTCGGGAAGATGCAAAAGGGAGAATAACTCTACTGAAACAGCCTAAAATGCACCACTCTTTCATTAAGTTTTATCACTGAAGACCAATTATTACACCAAACATTCAGTTGGAGAGATGTTCCAAAACAATCCATACCAGGAACTGGCAGCCTAATAGTATGACATGGAGAGAACTAATTCCAGACATTTCTCTAATTAAAACACTTTAAATTCAAACACTTTAATTCCTTCCACTGGCTAACAATGACAAATGCTTCCTTTGTCTCTGGAACGAGTATTCTGAGCCTTCACATAAAAAGAGGAGATATCGGTTTGATGGATACGTTCATCACCAAGGAAATGGAGACCATAATTCTGCTTAGGCATTTCTGACATTACAAGTTTTAAATCAGACGTACAGGTCCTTATAGCCCTTTTCATCAACTCTCATACACAAGGAAAGCCTCATGCCAAATTAAATTTATGGAAACCCTAACATAAGTATTGTAACGTAACATACCTGCTTAATGAGAAACTGGACTGTACCTAAATCTCTTCCTGTTATGTAAGATAATCCTTTCAAAATGTCTAAAGTAAGGAAGTGTGCGGGTTGCAGCGTTTTTTAAAAAAAGAATTCTCCCAAGGCAGGCATGAGTATCATAAACCTGTGAGCTTTGGTAAAGTTTTTTTGTCAGTGTGACACACCACAAACCTTATTCAGATAAAGAGCGGTATCTCTGCTCTTGAAAATATACTCACCCTTTTAGAATACCTTAGACTTTAAATACTACCAAAAGATTCCCTGCATCAAAATTGGAATCAATTTGGCATTCAAGGAAAGAAGCAATAAATACTTTTTACTGAATATTTTAATACATTTTGCATGTTCACAGCACCACAAGCGTATCACATCAAAATAGCCTCTGACAGAAAAAAACGCCTATTCTTTTCCTTTAATACAGATTTCATGCAGAGTCTCCTTGCATCTTATTTATTCCTTCAGCCTACTCTATTCCAGTTTTGCTAAAGCTCCCAAGTTTCTCAATGCAATAGGAAGCAGAAGACTGAGCAAGTAATTCTGCAGTTCCTGTTTTGAATATAAAATTTCTAACAGTCAAGCAAATGTTCTGCCTGTAACAACCAATCTGCATCACAAAGGAAGAAACAACTAGCTGTTTGGAGACAGAAGAATGGACAGGGTACACATAATTGCTGACACCACCAAATTAGCCTTTAAAATGTATTTATTCTTTCAAACTATTGACAATCTAAACCAAAACAACAAACCTTGTTTCTATGCAACTGATGCCTTGAGCACAGCCAGCACACTCCAACAATTCCCCAACTATATCACAACCCTACTAAAGCAAATGCTTATTCACTGTTGCTAAGAAAATAAACAAAATAAATAAGCTAACCTGAATGTGGTATGTTGTTCAGTTTACTGTGCAGTAAGATTCTAAACATTGTTCAAATACTGTCATGAAATTCTTGATTTTACCAGTCTGGCAGAAGCAGAACTTGCCTGCTTCCCCTGCAGTGTGGATCCCTGAAAGAAGTGTTTTTTTTCCAGAAATGACAGAGTTCTACCAGTAGCCAGCTCCTATTTCTTTGTTGCAGTAGTGAAAGGGATCCTTGTTTATATACAGGACTACAAAAGCAAAGATCCATGGTTTAAGTCTACCTACAGTGAAAAGGTAAATGGTGCATTACACAATATTTTTCTTTGCTAGCTTTACTACTTACATCCTGAGGCTCTAGAATTAATTACTTGTGTCACCCTGGCTCACAGAGGGAAGTTTAAAACAGAAAATCTGAAAGGACAATCAATCTTTCAGCAGCCTGCATATATATATTAAAAAAAAGAGTGTGTTTGTGTATAAGTATATAAATAAAACCACAAAAGAAGCCTTCTTTCCAAAAAGTCATCACTGTTTCTGGAGATAAAGTGAAATTTAAAAATTAACAGACAACTGAAGAGTTTTGATTTTTTCTCCCCCATTTGTTTCTGCTAGTTCTTTGCCACAGTAACAACTTACATTACAGTCGTAAATGTACCATTACACCAAGTTAACTGTTGCAGATCAGAAAATTGCCTGTGACCTCCATAGGGTTCAGAAAGACAGACACTAGACTAATGTCAGTACTCTAATACAAGTACCTTACCATCTCCCCCTCATTTAGGATATAATAGTAAAATATCTGTTCTCCTTCCACCTAAGAATTTTCCAAGTAGTATCTTCTAAAGGTTAAGTCAAAACCTGTCAGGTTTTAGCATAATTTTTAGCATACCCTAAAATCCATTTACAACTCTGAGAAAACATTCTATAAAGCTGTCATCATACACTGCTTCCACGGAAATCTAATTTCTCCTTCATAAGCAACAAGAGGAACAGAAATCACTTTTTGTGCATACCAGGCCATTCAATGAATCCTCCAAAAGTCCGTGTTAAGCCTTTAAGCCACAGGGTCTTTTCTAATAGAAGTTCAAATTCCATGGCTGGCAAATTTTGGAGTAGGAGAGCAGCAACTAGCACCCATGGGCTCAAAACCATGTTTTCTATTTGCAGGAGCTCCATTTTATAAGCTACGTCACTGACAAATTCCTGGATATCCTCCGATGGCTTTTGGGGAAGATGCCTGAAAAGAACAATGCAGTTCAAAGTAAAGAGCTCCAAAAACTGGAATATAAATCACACCCCCCTTCATTTCTTCCATATTGCTCCTAGACTCATAACTACTTTACAGCACCTAACATCTAGAGGGTGATTCTATCTCTGTGCTATGTAGAACAGAAGTATAGAGCGAAACATCAGTAGCTTCATGACAGTACTTGAAGCACAGAACTCTGTATTGATGCTGTACATTTGGTATCTTCAAATAAAATTCAAAAGCATTATGTTTTACATAACAAATTGCAAAAGCCACCCAATTCAGTCACAGCTACAGCTCCCTGAAACGTGGTCACTTAACAGTTTGCAGGAATAAAGCAGGAAGGGAGGGAAAGGTGGAAATTTTCAAGTGGCAAAAGCACTGAATTCTCAGAACATAGAGCTCTGCCTGGCTCACACATCATCATTAAACGTTAAAATGGCATCTTCTCAACACAGGGCAAAGTCACACAAGTAACAACCCATTTCAGAAACTCATTCACAAGCATGACAAGCCTCTGCTAAGGCAAAACAGGTTCAGTGGTCTCAACAGTCAGATGAAGGGAGGCAAGAGAACTTGAAAACAAAGTACAAGAGAACACCTTAATTATTTACATAGGTGAGGACTAAACAAGTGTTTTTGCTGTGCATACACCATGGAAAGATGAGGTACCTGGGAACCAAATTGTATGGGCACCGACTGATTCTCCCAGATGCCAAGGTTCTAAGGGACACCGGCTGGCCAACGTAGATATGTATGGTACCAAAATTGTCACTGAGGATTCTCCTGGCTTTTAACAACCCCTATGAAAATGGGAAGAGCAAAACTCAAATTTTGATGCTACAGGGTGTGTATAGATCCACTTATGTCCTGTTCTTAAGGAATTTACATACAGATGTAGATTCTTTGGGCTTTGGGACTCCTAGGAGTTCATATGCATAGAGAGATTCTTCTAATATCCTCTCATAACTGATGCTGATGGGAACAAGGTATGTGTCAAAGACTTCACGTTTAAAAAAGGGTTCCATCACAATGCTGAGAAGACCTGCAAATTGGAAAAAGAAGAAGTGAATCACCTGCCGTTTTCAAAGAGGGAAAAGAACTGCAATTTAACTTTGAAAAGCGTATCTCTGCATTTTAGAAACTGCTAGCAGGTGTGCACTGTGCCTGTTCTCTCTTCAAGCAAGCAGAAGCACAAGATATTGCCCAAGCTTTAAAACAGAAGGTAAATGGGAGCAATGCTTTTAGATAGCTATTTGTGCTCTTTTCAGCAGACTGCTCTGTGGTCACACAGTATCTTCCTTTTAAAGATTCTCCATTACTTTTACAGTTAGATTACAATATTTCTCTGCTGGTCAGGAGATGCCTATTTTCTAGGAAGCAAAGGGTAAAGAGTAATTGAATTAAGTACAAAATGGATAAAAGGGAGCAAAAGCAGTGGAGTGCAAGTGACATGTATTGGTGCTCTTTGTATGGCCTTGGAACTCCAACCATAATATTTTCCAGTACTCTGACAGATTTCCCCAGTTTCCTGTACTTTAACATCCTTTCCTATCTTCAGAGCTTACAAAGCACATAGCCAGTAATTAAAACACTAATAATAATAATAAAAAGTTCCACATTTTCAATAAACCTACCAAATTTTGGAGTCAGAGTCTTGGCAGTGCGGCTTCTAGTCCCTTCAAGAAAAAATTCAATTGGGGCATAGCCACTCTTCAAAAGTAAAACAAACAAACAAGCTGGTCAGAAAAAACATTTATTCGTTATTGTCCACAAATAGTTTTAAGTACTTAAAGTGTAAGTAAGTTATTTTTTTTAATGGAAGATATGCATGTCTAACTTCATTCATCTCTATGCCTATTTTATTTGCCACACCATATAGTTAAATTAATGAAAATATTGTATCTGTCATGAGATATGGGCACACAATCCAAAGCAAGTGATAAGCAGTAATTTGTTTATCACTTACTGCTGAACTGTAATAACAGAATAATGGTCTTCACCTACAGCAATTCTGACATAATCAGATCACCATGAAGACGTTCAATCACATACCCATAACAGCATCCTGCATATCTCACATGAATCATTCCAACAGTCTTTCTTAAGCATACATTTTGAGAGTTTAGTAATTTATTTACCCGCAACATTGTTTTTACATATTCAGCAAACACTGCCCAGTAGAGTCTGTTCCCACCAAAGGAACGGCGCATAAAAAAGGCACCTGCCCTTCGTAGCAGCTCACCAACTATTTTCATTCCTAGGAAATCTGAAAAACAATCAAACAGAAAACAAAACCACACATACAAAATTTATTGATTAATATCAGCCAGAAGAATCAACCATGTTCTCTAATACCCCAATTACCAGAATACAGAAAATCTCTTACAAGGACTCCATTGTTGCCAATAGGCTTATTTGTCTTCAGATTGCCTAGCAAGACTTATGTAGACATGAATGGCATATTATAATATCCTTTCAATTTTTTGTGGTAAGCTGCATTCACTTAGAGCAATTTATTTTCATAATTTAGATGGCCAGAGTTCAACCATAATAAAGACTAAATTTTTGAAGCACATTGTCTCACTCTTTTGTAGAAAAAAGCAGTTACTATTGAATGTATCCTAGAAGACACAGAAATTACCTGGCTAGTTAAACTACATTAGATCATTTATGATCCTGAATCATCACTTTGAGGGATGTACATCAAACCAGCTAAAATTTTCTGTAAATTTTTTAGTTTTAAGGAACGATGGTCAATGCTTAACTTGTCAAAACCAGGAAACACTTAACTTTAAAAAATTTCTTAAGGAAGCATTTAAAACAAGTCTAAACAGCAGCTGGCCATGTGCCACTTCAACCTCCTTGCCACTTCAATCCATGAAATACTTGAGAAGTTATTCACTAAGATAAATTCACATTTCTAGCTGCATTGCTGACAATTACTGCCTTGAAGACATCATAGATGCCAGAAACGTGATCCTAGCACCAGTTAGATTCCTGCTAATGTATTGCATGAGGATTTACCAGTGTTACTGACAACTGTTTACCTTCTCTTAGCTAATCCCCACAGATCTATCTATATGCTACTTGAAGCCAAGAGATAATTAACAAAGCAAAGGCACTTACCATCTATATCAGGAGAGTGTCTTTCCACTCAGCACAAGTATCACTTTGAGAGTGAGTTTGTAAACCACATCTTGTGAACCTCTAACACGACATGCAGTAAATACAACTACAACCACAGAGAACTGTATTTGCTCCAGAGGAATTTAAAATAATACACACATGCAACATCAAGCTGCAAGCCCCTAATTCTTTAGGAGAACTTTGACCCTGAAGCACCCAAAACACTTAAAAAAATGTTAATCGTTAAAAAATCCCTGTAAGCTAAACTAATAGTATCATAAGATACCATTTTGAGGTCCAAAACTCAAAAAGACTCTAATCCAAGTCAGCAAAGGATTACACCAATACCTATGAGAGCATGTGAGCAGATTTTTAACATAATAATGTAACACCTTGATCAAGGCAGCTATGAGACATTGACTTCTGAATTCACCAGAATCTAACCTGCATCACCCAGATACAAACTCAAAGAACACGGGAATCTCATCTTCCACAGCAAGCACATTCTCCCAGCTTCTGCTGGGAATTAAGTCTTTCCAACCTCTTGACTGGAAAAGTAGACTACAGTAAAGCAGTAGGTTCCCAGATCTTTGCTAGCTTACCTGTACATATTACAGTGCTGCACCAGACCTTAAGGTGGTTTTCTGCCTGCTTAGATCTGGTTGATACCCGAGACTTCCAAGATCAGGCTTCCCAGTTAAGTGCTTACAGAGTCCAGGTTTTCAAAACACATATTAACTCAGAACACATTTACTGTTCAAGTCTTCAAGAATTGTTTCCCACAAATATACTGGATTTGTCTGCTTTAGAACTAAGTATGTCCAAAATCCTGACCTCTGACATGAAATTTTGCTTCCCAGCCAGCTCTGCTCTCAGCATTTCACATAACAGAGTTATGCCAATGCTTCAAGGGAATCAGTCACAGTGGCAACAAGCACAAGGTGGTTGGCACTTCATATCTGGCTACTATGATTGCACTTAAAACTGTATAATGAAGTATAAAGAAGTTCTGCATCCACAGTAGCTCTTGGGCAAGTTTTTGCCTGTTCCCAGGCCATAAAAGCAATAGAGAAGTTGCCTTTGCAACTCTTATATTTGCCCCAGCCTTGGGCAGATGGGGTACTCCTGGGTGAACTTGCTACGAAAAAAAACTCAGCACCAGTGAGAAGCTTTCAGACATTGTAAGCCTCTCCCCCAAGGAGGCTTTAACAAGACGTATTTGGAACAGATGTTAAACACAAATACTTGTGCAGCTACCATACCCCTTGCTACCGATTCTCCAAATCCTGAAAACATTGTTAAAAGAACATACTTGCCTATTCCTGCAGCAATGACAGGCAAAGCCAAGTCATACGTATATAGCAAATAAGACAGCATCAAAAAGTCTACATAGCTTCGGTGACTGGGCAGCAGTACAACTGGATGCTCCTGAATGGCGTGTTGCAACTAAAAAAGAACAGTGCAAACAATATTGTTCCAGTATTTACCAACTGACTGTTGAAATTTGCAAATGTAAACTTCCACTGGGCTTAAGACAAACAGAAACTGATTTGTTTGGGTGGTTTCTCAGCACGGAATCCATAGGAAATTTGGAGCCATTGTTTCCAGACTAGCAACCTGTGGTTCACAGGTATCACAGGACTCAAAAACTAGGGCCATCTCATTATGTGATAGTCTAATTAAAATCCCTCTTAATGGGGATGAAAAACCAAATAGGGGCTATCAGGACTGGCATTGCTGACTTCCAGGGAATACAGTACACCCTCCAAAACAGCAGCATCCTGAAATGAAAGAGGGAGACAATGGCTCCCAGGAAACTGAAGCAAACCTAAAGCATCTTCTGCCTCAGAGGTGCTGTGTTTCACTACCATTAGTCGTATGAAGGTTTTGCAGAACAGCCAGTCCACTCAGCCACGTAACATTGTTTTCACAACCAATTCAGCTAAAAGTGTTATTATTTTATAGTATGATATAGAAAAGACTCTTTCAGTGGCTGATCTAACAGAATCATGGGCACATGGTATTCCTTACCATAGAAAGTATTTGGAAAATGTACAAAAAGTCCTAATTGCTGTTTGCCTCTAAAATACTTACATATCATGTCTCTTTCCTCCCACATTTGTTAAAAAATACCAAAGGGTATTTTTCATATTTTTTACTTAAAAGATTAGAGTTCTTGTCTAAGTGACTGGTATGAAAATATTATAACTTTTTCTCCCCCACCGGTACTCACTCTCTGCATTCCTTCTTCATTCACACAAACTCTCTGGAAAAGCTGTTTAAATATTTTGCTCAGAGTAAAGGCAAAAAATCTGACAGCTCCTAACTGCATACGGTGGCCCATCTCATCCAGGATTTCCGTGGCTTCTTCTTGAATAATATCAGGTGATTCTCCCATCTCTTTGGCTAACTAAAGAGAAACAAAATAGCGGTGAGAAGTTGTTCCCTTCCCCTTGCGCATGCACACCATTCCAATGTGCCACAACTACTATGGCAGAACTACTGCAATAGTCCACAAGACTTTATTTTATATGATAGGTATTCATCTAATTAGACAGAATCTGTTTGGTGTCTGTCAACACGAGAAAGCCAAGTGAAAGCTGTCCAAAAATCAAGAATGGGCTTAGATGTCAATGGTAGGGGGAAGGGTGTGCAATGATTTCCCCCCCACACCAAACACACCATCTGAATGTTTTAACTTGTAGCATGTGCAGAGGAGATTTAAGTTCAAAGAATATTTCCTATATTATCCGTCTAAAGAAGGCTGTGTGCATTTTTCTTTGACTAGTAAAATTTAACCTACATTTGCAGAGATAATCACAACGGAAATATTTTAAGTGCATTTGGGCTAGAGTTTATAGAGAACCTCAGCCCTGTCACACTTCAATTTCTTAATAATGTATTACTTTGGCAATGGATAGCTGAATTGCATACAAAGCACTGTCTCTACCAACTGTGCATATTAATGACTTTTTTTCTGTTGCCATGCACATTCCCTTTTGAAGTTTCTTAAAACAGATTTAAATAATGGTCATCCCTCCTATTTGATACTTTGAATCTGGAAATATTTAATTGAAAAGTTAAGCCTTTTACTATTATGGAATAGGGAATATGACTTCTACTGAACAGGGAGGAGGAAACAGAAGGAATGGAAGAAGAAAAAGCCACCAAAAAAAGCACAGCTCTGTTTAGAAGCCAGCACTGTTTATCTATTATTTCTGTTTTGCGACATATGTGAAAATCCATCTCCTCCATCATATCTACTGTTTCAGTTGTGTTTTCTTAAATGCGTTATCCTTCATCCTAAGTATTTCCACATGCAGTTTTAACTGATTACTTTAAATGCTCAAAGAAGTCAAAAGCTGCTTTCACTTCAGCCTAAGAAAATCAATTTCTCTTAGGAAGCCAAAAAATTCTTCTTTTTGGGAGAGATACTGTTCTTACTCACCAGCAAAAGGATTACCACACAGATCATCCTGTGTGATTTAAGTGAACATCCACTATAGAACTAAGCACTTATTCCCCAAAATCAGGAATCAAAAAACCAGATCAGTGACATATAGTAAGCTAAAACAAACAAATGACCTTCATTTTGAATACTGAACTTTAGTAACCTCAACAATTTGTCATGAGGACAAATTCTAGTATGCCTGTGTAAAGCCATGTAAACCTTGCTCAGGAAGGAGGGTCACTAATCGTAGACTGTTGGGCTCATTGCCCAAGACAGTCTCAGATAGTTTCAGTAATCTCTGTGCAAGGCTGGTAACTAGGCTGCAATGGGAGGTCTGCTAACCCCCTTCAACCATGTGATGCTAGCCCAGAAAATATCCATCAAAATAATTTTCCATCAAAAATGCAGCACTTCAGAAGAAAACATCATACAAATGTCTTTCTGTCAAGTCCTCTGTAAAGTATTTTCTTTCAGTAAATCTTTTAGTGTCTCTGAAGTTGAAAGACTTTTTTGGATTTCATACTACTTAGCAATCCATGATGTGCAACAGGACTACTTTGCAGGACATTGTTTACTTTGTCACATCATAACAGACACTGATACATCATTTGTAACACTGACCATTAAAATAAACAAACAGAAAAATTTTACAGCAGCCACTGACCACTCAGGACTAACCAAAACATCTTATATACTTCTATTCACTTGGAAGTATTTTTTATGAATACTGAAAATAGTTACTCTGCTAACTAGCACACACTCTTATTTCAGGCATTTCAATACAATATAAAATATCAGCCAGTCTGACCATAAAATACTTTATTAATTACAAAATAGCAGCTGCCCTTCATCTTAAAACAAAAATATGGTTACATGTTAGACAGTGCTTCAAAGAATTATCTCTGAAATGTAACTCTCATTTGAATGAAAGTAGCATTTAGGACTGGCTCATAAATACATCACTAGCCTGTAAAATTACAATAAGACATCCCCAAAGCACAAAAATGTCTACAAAGAAGGAGAGTGCTTCTGTCTTTCACAATGCTGCTTTGTGGCAAGGACAGTGGAGTAGGAGTAGAAATTTAAAAAAAAAAAAGTCAGGCACATTGGATAAGTTAATGGTAAAGTGTTGTATATGCAAAATCAAGACACTGTTTCATGAATGAGCTATCTGACGTGGTAGCTCTATGATAAATCAGTATTTGTTTTTCCTGCCAAAAGAGTATAGCTCTTAAGTTACTCATTTACTGAGCTATCTTCCAAACTACAGCTACCATTTTGACAAGCTCTTTTTCCCTGCTGCCACACAAAGCTTGGCTGTGTCCACCCTACCTCATCTTACAGTTCAGTGTCCAGACTCACCTGCTTGATAACATATTGAACTTGCTCTGACTGGAGAACAGCACTTTTAATAGCGTTTGGCTTGCAAGGTGAAAGTCCCTTGTAGATCACAGGAGTATAACATTTCATTGCATATCTCAAGTCACTGGACAACCGTCTTTCCTCCAAGATATCTTCAAACTCATCTCTTTTCTTTGATGTGAGCTCTTTCTGCTAGGAACATACAAATGAAGAATGAGACACTGTCTTGAACCATTTGGTGATCTGCTTGGCTACATGTTGCAATATGTCTGCAACATTTTGGGGTTTCTTTTTAGCTTTCAATAACATCTGTATTCCACACTCTCTGAGTGCAGGAACTAATATTACCTGCTTGAAACAGTGATTCAGAAAGAAATTAAAAAGAAAAACAAACAAAAAACCAACCAACCAAACAAAACCCCCCAAAACCCCACCCAAACCCTTTTCAACTGCAAAGATCCCCAAATCACCCTATGCCACGTTACTTAATTCCGCCCAACAGGAAGAAGCTGAGAGAACAGCTGGGCTATTAAAGCTAAAGTCCCTTGCCTCCAGGCTCTCCATGATTAATAGGTATTAACTAAAACACCTTTGATTCCAACTCTCACAGCTTGATGAAGACAATGCCATGACTGACATTATAAAAACACAATCATCAACAGACAAAAAATGATCCCTGCTACTTAAAGCTGCATCTGAGACCTTGGTGACTCGTGGTAGTTTTCACAAAGCTTGGACATAAGGTACATGAAACATAGCCAAGCAGGAACAAACAAAAAACCCAACGCCGTCAGCCATATGAAGATCAAAATGCTGTATGGTGCACACAGCACAGTAACTCAGAGAGCACAGCCTCTGAGTTACCAATACCATTGCTAAGCAGGAAAACAAATGGCACATCAAGAACTAATTGTATATCCATCCTACTGCAAAAATCTCAGAGAAAAAATTCTTCCCCTTGAGTCAGTAGACCTCTGTGCTGGAGAGAGATGTCTCCTATTATGTCCTATAACACCACAGTTTGTATGAATGACCCCTTGGTCTTTCCAAGACTGAAATTGTACTTCTCTAAACTTAAAAACAGCAGCACTAGCCACCAGAGAAGTAAGACTACTGGAGTAAGTCTCTGTGAAACGCAAATATAAAAGTATCACTTATGATCAAGTATATCTATTAGAAGAAGATGCTAAAAATAAAAATGCTTATGTCTTCCTCCACAGTACCACTTGAAGGGTAGCAGAGGCATCCTTTTCATTCATTCCACTTCTTCTTCCTATATACGACCAGTGCAGAACCAATCTGATAATGAGGAAATAAACCACTTTGCTTCATGGGCTCTTACAGTGACCTTTTCTGGTGCTGAGCAGAAAGTCTGGCCAGCAAACATGCAGGAGAACACCAGGAACAGATAAGCAAAATGCCCTGCAGTGGCAGCTGGGTTTTCAACCCTGGGAGAAGGAGTCAGGTTCCACTGCCAGCTGCCCACAGGCCACATCAGCAACACTAACAGAGTAGTTGACATTTAAAGTAGAAAGCAAACCTTTAATCACTGTCCATTTATCAACACAAAATAATTTGGCAAAACAAAACAAAAAAACTCAAATCAGGAATATCTCCACTGAAGAATGACAAAAATTCCTTCAAAGCTTTAACTGCATCAAAAGCCAATTTCATTTTACTGGAGGACACAAATCCTACTATAATGTTTGACCTTCTCATGTTCTTTTCACCACACAGTATAGGCAAAAGGATGGTCTCCAAATCTGCCTATACTGTGTGGAGAAAAGAACATGAGAAGGTCAAACATTATAGTGGGATTTGAGTCCTCCAATGAGACAATCCTACTATAATCGCATTTAGTAGATTGTATAACTTTTCTTTCCACTACTGCATTTTAAAGAATTGCCTCACAGTAACAAACTCTCCAAAGACTTTCAAAACAATCCTATAGAGGGTATTTAATCCAGGCCCATATTCATGTAAAACTTTTTGGGCTTTTTTTCCCCCTGTACAGTTTATAGCATTACAGTTTTCAACCTTTCTTCTTCCACAGCTTTAAACTGGTTGGTATTTTGCAAGAGCTAAGTAAGCTAAGAACTGTTAAGATGACTGGAAAGAGTTTGTATTAGCCATCTGTTGCTGTTGACACCTTATATCAACCCTCTTGATTAAAAATAAATCAGAAATAAATCCCTTATGCTCTGTAATGGCAAAAAAAAAAGGATAGCTCAGAATAGCAGCAGAAATATTATTTGGCTCTAAGTATACACCTTCTTAGACCAGTGTGTGACGAGTCAGTTCTCAGAAAATATAAGCAACATTTATGTCAATTACAAAAGTTTAAATCCTGCAATTTGCAACTACAGGAAACCCAGACAAAGAAAAGCAGCACTCAGCGAGGGCATCATCAGCCACATCAGCAGTCGCTGCACTGCTACAGCCATTCCCCAACACTGCTCTGGTGAGCAGAGCTTTGCAAAGGCCACAGCCCAGTGAAAAATCACCTCTCTGCCTCTGCTCCTCATTCATGTTTTCAGACTTGATATGCAACTAATTTCTCTCCATGGCAATAGTTGTTTTTACACCCTGTTCTGAAAGAGCACTGAGGGAGCCAAACCACATACTTTGCCAACGACTTAAGATTTATAACATTGCTTTTACATGTTACAGCCGAGCCGCTGTTCAGCTTCAATTGCCAACTGGTAGAGAGCACACTTAAAAAACACTGTTGGAAACTTGGACATGAGAAAATTCAGTGACAGGCACAGTTACTGTGACAGTGACAAAGTACAGAATCAAAAGAGCGGGAGCCTGGAGCTTCTCCACTTCCATGTAACTAGGATATGCAATGTAACGATGGTGCTTGCGTTGCATTTGGTATACCAGACGACAGAGAAGTTTGGGAATCTCTGCCGAAACAAGGAGCGATTTCCCTCTATCCCTAGTCCCCTCCTCCAAATGCTTGGGCGGCGGTGGGGGGCTTTAGCACCCCACACTCAAACCTCCTTGTCTGAAGCTGGCAAAGGAACTGTAGGGAACAAACAAGGTCAATAAAGTAATTTCGACCATGTAACACGGGAAAACCCGTTTCTGCCACTCCATGCTCATGACAATCTCCCAGCGCTGCATTCACCGCCGCTGGCACGTCAGTTTTCTGCGGGGCTGAAACCCTGCGGAGCGCCCGGACACCTGCCGCCCCAGACAGCTCCTCCGGGACACAGCCCCCGCCAGGGAAGAGCCACGTCCCATCTTACCCAAACCGGCTGGCCTTGCACAGCCGCTCTGAGGGGAGACGCGGCGCTCGGAATGGGGAGCCCCGGCTGTCGCGACTGACACGACAGGTCCGGGAGGTGCAGCTGGGGCAAAGAAGCGGGCCCAGGAAGGTGAACTGGTGAGGGGAGAAGTCCGGCTGCCGCTCGGCCGCCACCCGACCCCGCTGAGCCCGGGAGAGGCCTCGCCCCTCCCGCCGGAGCGCGGCCCCCGCTTCCTCAGGACCCAACTCGGGGCAGAAGAGCGGAGGGGGATTGCACCATTCTGCTTCGGAGTGACCGGCACCTCACAGTGGCTGAGGCTGGCAGCCCCTTCCCCCCGGCACCGCTCCCGCCGCCGGCGCTGCCTACCGAGTACATGGGCGCCCCTCGCCGCGCCCGCCCGGGCGCCGCCGCCGCTGTCGCCATGGTCCTGCGAGCTCCACCGCGCCGCCCCGCGCCCCGATCGCCTGCCCTACCCCGCCGCGGTGCCCTCCCGCCCGCCGCAGCCTCCCGCGGCGCCCATGGCCCCGAGCCGCCCCGACCCGGCTGCCAAGCGCGGTGCGGCGGCGGAGGGCGGGGGCACCGCGCCATGGGCGGTGCCATCTCGGGGCCGACGGGAGCCGCCGGGGATCACACGCCGGAGCGCCCGCTGGCCGCGGCAGCCATGGGGCCGCGGGAGCCCCGCCGCCGGCTGGAGGCGGTGCTCGCAGCCCTCTACGACCTGGGTGGGTGCGCGGGGCCGGGCCGGGCGCTGCGCCGGCACCGCGGTCCTGCCTGGGGGCCGGGGACGGGAGGGGGCCGGGCGTGTTCGCTCCTGAGCGGGGCGACGGCGGCCGCGCGGGGCTGACCCGCGGCATGTGCTCGGCTCGCAGGTGAGGAGCCCGGCGGCGCCCTCGGCGCTGCGCAGGACGGCGAGAGGAGCGCAGGGGCGGCGGCGGAGGAAGGAGAGGAGGAGGAGAGCCGGGGGCTGCAGCCGGCGGCGGGTGGGCGGCGCGGGGCCCGCGATTTCTTCGGGGAGCTGCGGGCCGAGCTGAGCGCCGCCGCCGCCGCCGCCCCGCCGGCCCCGGCCGCGCCGCCGGCCGTGGAGGTCGTGGTGTTCCACGGGAGGAAGAGGAAGGAGCGGCACAGCCCCGCGGCAGCGCCGGCCGGCGGAGCCCAGGTAGGGCCGGGAGGGTAGGGGTACTCCACTCCGCCCTCCCACAGGGCGGGAGCCGTGGGACGAGGTGCGCTCCCTGGGCACGGCACCGGCCCCCTCCCGTGCTTGTGTTTGTCCCGCTTGCTGATACAGCTGCCTGGAAATCCGGGATCTTTTGGCGATCCGCGTGCTCAGCTCGATGGCATCCAGTCCTGCTTCATCCTGCAGGACTACTGGATGAAGCAGGGGTGGGGTTAGGACTTGAAAACTACTTTTTTCCGGTTTCAGAAGATCTCTGGTTAAGTATCCTATATTTGAAATAGGCGTATTCCAGCAAAATAAATTGATCTGCAGACAGGACTGAGGATACGTCAAGAAGGGAATGAAATGGAAAGCAAAGCCTCTTGGTTACTTCAGTGCCCGAGTGTTTTGTTTGCTGCTCTGTTCCTGTCAATAGGTGTGGATGTGAGGTGCCAAATCTTTCTTCTCTTCTCTGGCATCACAGCAACACTGGGCTGTTGACAAGAAACATGTGTCTTCGAGGATCAGTATTGGGTAGTTGATGGGGGAAGGCATGACAGCATTAGATCTCAGTCTTCTGGTTTGGTTTGTTGGTGCTAAATTACCTCACACTACCAAAAACTATAACTGAGTTGCTTCAGTGGGAAGGCCTGGATAGGCTTGGCTGGAAGCTGAGCAGAGGGATCCCTTGCTGATTCATTGGTCTCCAGATTTTATTGCTTCTCTGGTTGTTTTCCTTGAGTTGCCTTTATGACCATAACATCAGAAGCCCAACTCTAAAATAAACTCTGATGGGCCAACGTATGGCTGTCTTGAATTCAGGGAGACTTACTGATATCTAGGGTTGAACTGCTTGGAACTGGGAAGTTCAAGAGACTGACCAAGCAGTTGGCTGAATCCATAAACTTTTGTGCTTCTTCCTGCATGTTTTCCTCTAAAAATTGCCCTAAGTATTTATTTTCTTATGCTTTTTACAGCTTAAATTTTTATACCTGAGAAGACTGCTGTTAGGCTTGTTAGCAAAATGCTCTGAAGATAACCGGCTTTATTTGTGGTTGAGAGGGACATTTTTATATAGAAACTTTTGCAGAGCTGAGAGAAGTTTGGCTGCAGTGGATGCAGAGGGAAGCCCGGGTGTAACCCTCAGGCCTGAACCCATGACTCAGTGTGGCTTAAGGTCCTGGAGAGTGCAAAGGAAAAGCTTTAATACTTATGTATTAAATTATGTATTAAATACTTATGTGTTATGCATCCTTAGGGGGGATAGTAGCCTTGAGAGCAAATGCGGAAAGATGAGCAGATGGCAGTTTCCTTGCTCGTGCTGCCTGCCCACATCATTGGGCCTGGGAGCGGTCAGAGCTTCCACTCAGAGAGGTGGTTCGGCATATCCTCCCTTAAATCAGGAAGCAGACACAGTCTAAAATAACCTTGGGAGATTTGTTAGTGCTCCAGAGTGTCCTGTGTGGGACACTCCTGTAACAAGCAAGCATGGAGCTCTTTTCCTTGGGATTTTACGCTTCTTTTTCTTCCTAGGATACAGCCTGTTCCCCCTGGAGAGTTCCCCTCCAAACTGAGAACTGCTGATGGAAGGTCTCTGTGTAAATCGTGGACTAGAAAAGATGTGGTTTTCATTGAGCTCCTTTTGAGCGAGTACTTTCTTTAAACACCACTAAGTGGGTTCTGCCATTTGCTGACAGTGCACCCTTTGGAGCAGTTTGTCTTGCATTAGTGGAGCTGGATATGGGCACTAATATATATACATGCATTTGGGAATTAAGCTTGTTCTGCATGTTGCCCCAGCGGTCGGTACCTATTACCACTGCGCTGCCTGTCTCAAACAAAATGACTTTTCTCTTATAAGATGTAATTATTATTGAAAGTGTATAAATTAATTGCATCTATTAATAAGTTTCTGAATTATGAAACTCTTTGTAAATGTTAGCAGATAGATGATCTAGGCAAGGAAGTGCAGGACAAAGCTATATGCACTGTGCTGTAATGGTACCCTATAAAATGTGCAAGATCATTCCAGTAAGACACTATAATATCTACACATTAAAAATGCCATTGAGACTCTCTCTTTTAATAGATCAAGGTAATAAAGCTAGGAAAAGGTACTGCTGGAAAGCTGTACCTACAACTCAGTTTACATTTCACTGCTTTTCAAAAAAACTATTACGATCAACATTTAGATTGGTTTTATTTGTTATATTAATTTGAAATGTTTTATTTTATTTATAGACCCAAATAGTGAATGAAGAGACAAATGTGAACAAACAAGAATTTAACTTTGAAAAAGTAAGTCTGCAGCACCTGTCCAATCTCTTTGTTTTAGTGTGCAGATGTGTGTATTTATATCCTTGGAAAGGCTATGGTGGGACCAATGGGAAGCACTTCCAGAAATGGGTATCTCTTATCGGTGAGGCTTTCCTAATAGGTAATTCTGTCTGCATGCCATGCCAAAGGAGAAACATGCTGACTGTAATCAACTGCTCTGTGTGAAGAGAGGCTTATTACAATTCTGTAGCCTTTCTTCTGGTCTTTCAATGCAAATTTGAGGAGGAACACTGTATGTTACCTGTGTAAAGCTACTGGAGTACCCATAATGTTTAGCATAACTCTTTCAGGCCCATGATGTTAAATGTTGGATTTCTGATCTCATGTGGGAGGGGAAAAAAAGGTGTATTGGCATCTATTGAAACAATAGATGGCTTTTTTCCATTTGTCTTTTTATTCTCTTCTGTTCTTATATGAGCATAACTAGCATTGGCCACCTTAGATACTAATTCATTTACAGATGTGTGCAAGTTGTTCATGTGCCTAATCTTTGCTTGGGGATGTGCTATGATCCTGTGAAATATCTCACTGGAGATTCTGCATGGAGCTCTGTACTGCTAAGAAGAGTGAGGATTTAATCACTGATGTTAAAAAGATTATGAATTCAGCACTGGTTTTGCCGGAGTATTCTTGTATACACACATATGTATGTGTGTAGTCAAACCGCTTCACCATCTGCCCATTCATGTTTCTCACTGGTTCTCTTTTTTTTTATATGGAGGAGATCCATTCTGTGTGTTGTTTTATGTGAAATGAGGAGAATTGAAAATTGTCCCCCTGGCAGTCCTCACTGTCTAGAGATTAGTTGGACAGTGGTTAACTGTTCTGCGGTATAGCTCCAAACTCAGCTAGTTTATTTTATAGCGTGCTGATTTCCAGCATTAGCCAGGATTTCTTTGGGAGTATGACTTTGTTGTGGTCTGCCAAGCATTACTGTACGACAGGTTGGACAAATTATGAAACGCTTGCAATTTTCTGTGCTAGGCTCGTCTGGAAGTGCACAAGTTTGGAATCACTGGCTACAAGAAGCATGAACAACGCATATGGGAACAGGAGCGTGCTATCATGCTGGGAGCCAAGGTAATTGTCACTTGGTTTGTGCTGAGAGGTCACCCACTATTACAGTGTGTGAATGTGGTAAAGAACATGGGGGGCTTTGGTACTACTTTTTTAAAACACAAGGTCCCCTGCCCTGGCCCTTCTCCCACTTCATCCTTACTTTTACATCTTCTATTCTGTCTTGTTTATTTTCTGAAGATGAATGGAAAACTAGTATAGTTGTGTTATCAGAGAAGTAGTGACTGGTTAGGCTGAAAAATAACATGTACTAATTTTTAATCAAGCCATTCAAAACTAAATTGTTGGAGAGAGAGGCTTGCTTTTTAAAGCTTCACTCTCTCAGTGAGTTAAAGATGGAGAGGACTTTTCATTTTATCATCACTAGTGTAAAAGAAAAACTATGTTTTAGATATTTTTTATGGAGTGGGGAGAGGTATGTACGTGGAAAGTTTGTAGGACTGATACAGAGCATTATCATTTTTCTCTACTGTCTTCACCAAGAAAAATGGGGTTTCTAGGTGTCTACCTTACATCCTCTAAGTCCCTTTCTCTCACCCAAAAGGAAATAAGCATTTCTAATGTTTCACCTTTACCACCTGAAAAATACTGTCCATGCAAATGTGTCAATAATTTTTGAAACTATTTTAAAACTTAATCAGTGGTATCCCTCCCAATCTTTGTTGCAGCCCCCCAAAAAGGAACATGTGAACTACAGGACTTACCAAGAGAAAATGAAAGAGAAAAAAGCAGTGAAAGATGCTGATAAGGAAAAGGTTTGTGTGAAATCTTGTGTATAAAAAGGCAGCATGTAAGAGCTAGCCCAAGAGTCTGACATATAATGCCTCAGGCACAGGAGGAGTGCCTGAGATTGACACCTGCTGCTCCCCATGGATTGGGTTCCTGGCTCCCACAGTACTAACCTTATTGGTGAAAGCTAGTTGTGTGCAGTATGAAGGGCACAGAGTTAATCTTGTGTTATGGTGGGTTTCATTGCCTCATCCTTTGAAGCTTATAGACTGATGACACAACATCAGCAGCGTTTGGGTTTTTTTATCTTTTTAAGATAAAAAAAATGGCCCTCAATTAAAGTTTGTTGCATGTTGTCTAACCACAGAGAGCCGGATCTTCAACTGCTTTTATATCAGCACAATTCCATCTAGGATCTTGCTCATTATTTAAAGCAAGGGTGAGGTTTCTGTTGCATCCATCCTCTAGCACAGCCCATCTGGCTCTGAGCCTACTCCCAGCCTTCTCATGTAGGTGGGAGCAGGCTGTGGCATGGGTAATTGCTCTGGCATCCTGTTTCCTGCCACCCTCTTTTCCAGGGACCTACTTCTCCTCCTCTGTCATGTGGCTCGAAGCACATCCACTGCATGACCAGGCATGTTGAACCCTGTTATTTGACAGATACACTCAGCTGGGGGACAGGGCACACCTGCCTGGTGGCAAGTCCATCTTTTGACCCTAGGATCTGTCATATGCCCAAGGAGCAAGCCTCTTCTTCTGCACATGGCAAGGACAGCTTGTTGGGCATGAGTGGGCTGTAAGGTGACAGGAAAGGCTCTCGGCACTCCTAGCAGTGACTCCACAATGCGTTGCATCACTTGTTCTGTCAGGTCTCCCAGCTGGCTTTAAGTGCCTGCTGCTCTGTGAAGCAAAGGCTACAGCGTGTTTTATGTGCAGGTGTTTGTTTAATGAACATGTTCTGTTTGTTATTTGTTCATTAAAATATGTATCTTTAAAAACAGGAACATAAGGGTGATTCTCTTAAGAAGAAGAAGAAAGAACAGAAGGAGAGGTGAGCTGTTTTTAAGGAGATGAAATTAACTTGCTTTTGTATAGTCTCCCCAGTGCATATCCCCTATGTAACTGTGCCAGAAGTCATGCACATCATAGTGGAATGAACTTCTCCAAATGCAGAACTCCTCAAAAAATGGTGACATTGCTCTTTGTCTAGCAGTTTCAGAGGCTTTAGTTACACAGCTTAACTGAAAATATGTCAGTTCTGTCCCAACATGTCTAAGACTGCAGCTGGAGGTGAGATGGATGAAAATCCCTGTGTGCCAATGCAACACTTACTCGGAGCATTTGCCCTAAGAAATAATTTCTGCAAAACACAAGCTACAGTATACAGGGGTTTGAAAGTGAGCTGACATTCTTAATCGTAGTGTAGCAGGTTCACTCTGTGCTCTTAATGTTCCTTCTCTATCCAAAAATCTTTGTATTTCTAAACATTTAGAAATGTAAATCATGCTGTAATGTGCTGCAAATTTTGAATGTCTACGAAGGTAAAATGTTCTGGGATCATTACTTGCTATGATCTGATACTCCTTAATACCAAACACTGACTGCATAAATAGGTGACATTTTTCACCACATTAAGCATTTTCATGTGTTTCTGCTTTTCTCTTTATTATTGTTTTTCCTCTTCCTATTTCAGGAAGGCCAAAAGGAAGAAATCAGTGCCTAGCATTTGGCCTGCAGGACAAGTTGGAAAATTCAGAGATGGGACCTTGATTCTGCAAAGCCATGATATAAGGAAAATCAAATCATCCAAAGTTAGGAAATGAACTTAATGATAGAGTGAAATGGACAATATGCATAAGGTAGAATTCATGTTGCTACCAACACAGACTTACAGAGCCTCTCACCTTCCCACCATGCCCTAATTTTTTAAATTTTGTTGTTGCAGCATTTTCTATGTTCCATTCTGCCTTGGGAAGAATATGAGAATTTACCATTTTATAAATAAAAATGAGAGTTTTTATTAAGAAGGTCACACAGCCTATTTTTATTAGTCAATACATGTCAAAACAAAACATTTCACTTTCTAGAATCAGCTTATTGGCTGTAAGTAAAATATTCATTTAATCCATTAACTAATGGATTAAAATATATATCTCTTTCATATGGAAGGAATATGGAAAAAGCAATACCTTACTCACTCTGAACCTGAAGTAGGTGGTCTCCAAACATTTATCGAACATAAATTTGTTTCTATATTTTTATGGATTGTTAGGGGCTAGTGGAACTGCACAAGAGTTTTCTTGTCCAGCAAAACCTCAAGATTTCAAAATTACCTGCTTTGGAATGAAAATAATATTTTTCTGAAGTTTTGTCACAGTAGGAGTTACACACTCAACATCTGCAGAGATCTCCAAATAAGCAGTTTCAAATAGTGTTTTGGTGGCTTGGATGGTTTGTTTTTAAAAACAAAACCATGTAAGACTAAGCCAAAAGAGGCATAGACACTTTATAGCTGCTGGTTGTTCCTAGTAACTCGTGTTTGTTTTGTTGAGTGTCCCTGTGCCTCTAAGGCTTTTCTATGAAATCTTTGTCGAAACTGAAGTTTTGATGCTATTTGGATTTCAGCAGTTTGGTGTTTCTGGAAGAACAGTTTTTGTCTTCTGTAGCTAAATATTTTTTAGGGTATTTTTGTTTTTAAGGTGGTGTATCCTTTAGAACTGGCAATGGTTAGTGACCTTCCAAACTGAAAGAAACTTCTGGGTGTACCAGTACCCCTGTGGGCTGGGAGCCTGAGCTAGGTGATCTCTAACCCTGAGTGAGCAGTGAGGTCTGTGTCAGCTTGCAGCCAGCAAATAGAACAGCAGCATCAGAGGCTGTCCCTGTCACAGGATGGGAAAGTGTTCTGGGGTAGGGAGGGCCACACCACAGAAAGGGATGCTTTCTGGCATGCTCCTTCCCTCACATCTTCCACCTTACTGAAGGTCCTGGAAAAGTGCTCTGCCACCACAGAGAGGACTAAAAGGAGGGAGAGGAGAGCCTGTAAGGATCAAGAGGCAGGTAAAAAGTGGAAGGGAGTGTTTCTGAAGCCGTGTGGGAAGAGGAGGGTTGTGCAGAGTTGGGTTGCTAAATGCTGTTATCACATTTCATAATTGCACAATTTGATTTCTTGTTATTCAGTATTGCTTGCAGATTCAAACTGGAATTAACAATCATATCTGGTTACAGACTTAATGTCTTATTTCACATTATAGAAATGTCAAATCACCATGGCGTGTGAAGGTGTAGTCACTAAGAAGAATTGAGTACAGAGCATCAAGACTTGTTGAGGCAACAGATGGGCCTTCGATGTTGTGGGATAACCTGTATTTTTTAATTCCTTTTTAATCCTTGAGCTTAGTTTTCACTGCTCACTTCTTGATGAAGTTTTGTTCAGCTGTTTGCGTATAATGTGTTGTGGGACTTTATGTTCTCAGTCAGCTTAGGTAAGTTAAAGGGTTTACTTTCCACCTCTACAGCTCCCAAAAGCTGTTTGGGAGTGAAACTTGGTCAGAATGGGGTGTCTAATTTTGCAGTCCTGCTCTCAAGCTTGTAAGCTCTGTAAAAAAGAGATAAAAAAAATCAGTTCTTAAAAGGCTGAAAACTGAAATGCTGAGTAGATAGCGGAACATTAAGGTTTTCGAGGGAAGAAAACAAAAAGTTTATTCAAAGTGTTGCATCTTCACACTCGTTTATGGTGTTGGTGTGTATGCATTATGAAAGCTTTGTTACATGGCGATAGGTTGCTTATTTATATCAAGTCTCCAAGGTGATTTGAGCTGGCCATGCTACATTCTTGTAGGATGCTGTTGTCAGGTAAGCATGGTACTTCTAGTCCTGTTTTGTTACTAGATGCATCAATCACATCTGGCAAATAAAACTGTTTAGAGCCTGTTATGCACCAGCATTTTCCTGGGCTGGCATGTGCTGGTAGTTAGCAGAGTATGTAAGTTTATGTTCAGGCAGTAAGCTCTGTTGGTTTCTAAGCACATGCTTATACACAAATGCCAATGTTGACTGAATAACTGATTATGGGAACGGGGGAGCAGGGCCCATCTTATTTTGCCCTCTACTTGGAGTTGCATACAGGAATGAAGTACAAAGGAAGAACAGAAGGATTTTTCCTTATCTGCTTTCTCTTGCATGCCTTTTCCTACAACCGTTATCCTTATTCCCTGTTTCCCTATATGCTAAAGCCATTGTGATTATCTTTTCTCCCAGTCAAACCCCTTTCCATAAAGGTGTTGATGCCAGGTGGTTGTCTCTTGCGGGAGAAAAAAAGAAAAGGTGTGATAGATGGTGTCTTCACACTGTCATCTGTAGTTGCTCCTGATTGTTTTGACTGGGTTCCTGTTTCTTACCCTGGTGCTGCTGTCACTGTTATCACCATGCTTTATTCTGCTTTTTTAGCAGACATCTGTAAAGGTTGTGTGGCCTCAATGACTGTTTTTTTGCAGGGACTGTGTGCTGCCTCTGTAGCATTGCTCAGTCTCTCACGAGCTGTCAGCTTGATAGAGGTGTGCAGCTCCAAGATGACAGGTCATTTTAAACCATCTCACAAAGTTTTTGTCTCCCCTGCTCTGACAAGCTTTCTGCCCATTTTGACTTTTACCCAAAGGGCTTTCCAGTCAGATCCTAGTGGTGTCACAGTTCTTTCAGGCTCTGCTTACTCCAGTGTCAGAAATTTCTGGAGTCTGGGAAATCACCCAAAGTGTCTTAGGTGGGATGCAACTAAATAATAGATCCCCTATAACCAATGTGAGCCAGAGCTAATGGAGTGGTACTGGGAAAGAGAGGTGTTTCATGCCACTGAATCCAGGGTATGTCTGAAGTTAAGGCACAGGTGGTTGCTCTGAGGGAGGACTCTTGGGTTTCTCCAGCTACTGGATTATTCTTGATTGTGGTAACAAAGCAGGTACGGACAGTTAGAGTTAGGCATGCATTCTGCATGAGTGCCTCATTTACATTATGGCATAATATTTTTTTATAATAATCAGGAATAATAAATACAGTACTAATGCTGAATTTGTTGGCAATGTTATAAGAATTTATTTAGAAACTGTAAAACAGCATAAACTTATACATCAGGTTTTCCAAAAGGGGAATAATAATAATACACAAAGTTTTAGTTGGACCAAAAGACAAAAAGCAGTTTGTTTCTAATTCAAAAAATACAAACATTTGCTACAGGTACAAAATTATAAAAAGTTTGTATTTTCCTTTTGATCTGGCGATAGACACATATAGCAGAGATGTATATTTCACCAGCTCCAAATTAAGATAAGCTATGGGAAATGACAGTAACAAAAAAAAGTGTTGTAGTTAAGAAGAAAACACAGAAACAACTTCTTGTCTTTCATTTAACCAGAAGTGAACACCATTATCTTATTCCTTTGCACTTTTTTGGTTGCCAACATTTAAATTAGTGTTATTCATGCTTCATATGACAATCAGAAATAACAGCAGGTTTACCTCATGCATTTATTTTTAATATTCATCACATAATGTCTTCTCACCATGCTACCTGGAAAGGTTAGTGTTTTTATTGACAACATTTAAGGGAGGTGGAGGATGATGGAATGCAATCAGGATCTGGGAATATTTCTACCTACTGCTTCATAAGAATATGTTAGAAGCCCTCCAATTAGCATAAAAAATAATTTTGTAATTAATTCTGCTTGGAACTGTTTGCAATAACAAATGTAACAAAAAGGTCATTTAACAGAAAGGGAAGATGCTGCTGAGTGTCTCTGTCAGTGGAACACAAGTCTTATCTCCTGTATTGTGCAAAGATGCAGGAGCCCTACACATTCAGTCTCTGAGGTTTGTATATGGGCTCCTGCACCTCAGAAGACCAAGTGCATCTGATTTATGGCAAATTTGTGCTTCAGGCTGCTGCTCCACCTGGCTGTGTGTGTGCAGCATTCAGTAGAGCTGGGCAGAGGAATCACCAGAAATGTTGTCAGTAAAAACTAGAAGCATCTCACTTTTTTATTAAAAAACAACAAAAAAAAAAGACTCCATCTTTGCCTGGTAATTTTCAGTGACATGTGCCCTTTACATTTGCTACATGGTTGATCTGATACTGTAATCTCCCTTACAAAGTTGATCTAGCCAAGATGCTTGATGTTTTCGTATTGTCTTCCATGGTTCAAAGTTGAATTCTTGATTTTGCTATTTAAGCAGGATGCTGTGAAGCTGGTAAGGCCTGAGATAAGGTATAACAACTCTCCTAACTCATCTTTCTGTTTGTGAGCAAAGGACATACTAGATGGCACTAGAAAGCTGCTGTCACCAGGTTGTGGAATTTTGCATCCCTTCTCATCCCTTCAGGTAATCCGAATTATGGTCCAAAAATGCACTACCTCTTGTTGGCAGTTGCAAACATGGTATTTTTCATACAGTGGTAGTGGCAGCTTAGCCTTGATCTCATCTCTCTTACCTTGTTTAAAAAATATTATCATGTAAGAAAGAAAGAAAAAAAAGCTGCATCTTGCTCCAGAACAACTCAGAAGCCAGAGTATTAGGTGCTCTCTGCTACCTTTGCTAACTATACTTTGAGAAAAAAAAACCCAAAACCCAACTTGCACAGCACTACCACAGAACTCTATCACCAGCCAAGAACAAACTACAGCAATACACTATTATGGCAATATTTACAACACGATGGAACATTATGCATATAATAAATTACATTTAATACTTTTCCTCTTAAACTCTGATATATGTAAGCTCATGCTTATTTTATTTATTTTGTTCAGTCCAATATATTTTCTTCTATGTATCTGAAGTGCATAGGCAACATAGGAGGTGACAGTGCTATCTGCCTATCTTTTTGCGTTTTTAGAAGCCAAATTGCTTTCCAAATTCATGATACATCACAGTATGCTACTGTCCTCACTGACATACAAATTTATTTATAGCACATACCTTTCCACAGCAGAAGGAACAAGGGATTGTCAGCTACATCTGTGCTTATATTGACATT